GCCAGCCATGCTTCATGTGAGTTTTTAGTTTTTTGAGGGGGAAGGTTGTTCTTTCACTTTCAATTACTTCTAATGTTTTTAGCATTTTGTGGACTTCATTACTTCCAACATGTCAAAGGTGTTTGTCGGCACTAAGAACTAGCTTCATTGTAGGTTGAAAATCTGTTGTAAGGGAGTCATGTGGCTTCTGTCAGATTTTGGAGCCAGGACAGCCAACTCGAGCTTACTCAAACAGTCTAGGAAAGCTATACAATCTCAGATTTTTGATGAAATGTTTTATAAAAGAAAAATCATGTTCTTACTCGTTACTGTTTCCAGAGAGTTTTCTCCTGTCTTGGCATCAATCAGTCACCAGCCAAACATTAAGCCGTCCTTTTAGATCGATGGCCATTTTAAAGACTAGTGAGCTCAGCTCACTTTACTCTAATTAATCTGAGAAGAGACTTAACAAATTCAAAGGATATAAAAATAATTTTCGACATTAAATTAAAGGACGGCCTCTGACAAATGTGGTATGGTTGAAAGAACACCAAGTCTTAGAGTTAGAAGACCTAACTTAGAGTCTCACCTTGACCACTCACTGATTGTATGACTGGGTACAACTTAAGACCTAGTTTCTTCATCTGTAAAATGAGGGTTATTCAAGGGTATGGGAGGTGACTGGGTCCATGGTACAGCAGGATAGAATCAATCTGAATGAAAGATTTAGTAGCCTACCAATTTCTAGAGCTCTATAAATAGCAAAGAGCCTAAAAGATGGATTTTGGCTCCTCGGGATGAAAGGATCTGAAAATGGGAAGGATGTTATTGTTGTTATTGTTGTTTTGTTGTTGATCCTTCATTCTCAGAGAGGACCAATGACATCAAGAGGGTGTGTATTGATTTGCATGTAAATTGTATTTAAGGGAGGCAGAGCTGTGTGATGTCATCAACTTCCTCTTCTCCGGAGTCACTGGAATCCAGTGGCAAGACACAAGTCAAGATGACTGATGATGGCCCAGTGAAAGGATACATAGCTTAGTGGAATAATCCTTAGCTTTAGATTCAGAGGACCTGGGTTTGAGTTCCAGCACTAGCATTTTCCACCTGTGTCATCATGGTCCAGTCTCTTCATTCTCTGGAATTCAATTTCTTCATCTATAAATAGAGTAAATGGTCTATAAGAGCACTCCAACTCTAAAAATCCCATGATTCTTTGAACCTTGGGGGCCATCTAGGCCAATATGTACTTTACCAGAAATCCCATCAATGGCATCCTGACAAATACTGAACCCAGATTTTGCTTGAGGACCTCCAGTGAGAGGGAGGTCATCCTGCCTCTACCTCCCAAGACAGCTCATTCTACTTGTAAACATTTTGTTTAGTAGATTTTCCTTACTTATTGCCTAAATCTACCTCTCTGAATTTTCTGCCCATTGCTCTTAATGCTCCCATCTTTATAGCAGCTGCCATAGGTCACATGTGAATCAGATCCAGCAAACATGAGTTCATTTGAATATTAAAGGTTGGTAGTTTAGGTGGCCCCCAGTATGATTTTATGGTTATAGAAAGGGCCCTCTGTCCCTCAAAATACCTCTCTCAACTGCTTGATTGGGAGGAAGCAAAATGGTATGTAGAAAAGGCACCCAGCTTATAGGAAGAAGACCTGGTCTCAAGTCTAGATTCTACCACTTACTGACCCTAGGTTTCATCTCTCAGCTTTGGTTTCTACCCTTTGAAAATGGGGATAATCCTTACTATGTCTACCTGATAGGGCTGTTGTGAGGATTGAATTAGATAATGCATCTAGAGTATTTTGTGAGCTAAAAATTAGTATATACATATCAGGGATTATTATTATTGAGGACATACTGTATAAGTTCTTGGTATGCCCTGCCCCATTTTGGTCATTTGGAGTCAAACAGAATTAAGTGATATTGAGCTGGGGATCGCTGTTTGTCCATTTTATAAATGGACAATGTTCTGCCTATAGGCAGAACAAAAAAAGTTCTAAGTACCTACTGTGCTATGTCCTGAGAGAAATGCAAATTTTATATAAGACAAGATCTCTGCCCCCATGGAGCTTGCAATCTACTCAGGAGGTAAGACACAAAGATAACTACAATTACAAATATAGCAGAGGAGTTCAAAACAAAATGTTATGTGACGGTAAAAGGGAAATGTCATTATTGAGAGGGGGTTGGTCACAAAACGGGAAGGAATCCTGGTAGCAGACTAGAGATGGTATGGGCACACAGTAGGTGCTTAATAAGGCAGACAGGTGTGATACTGTGGAAAGAACACTGCATTTGGAGTCAAAAGTCCTGAATTTAAGCTCTGGGCTGCTAGGTGGCACAGTGGATAGAATGCTGGACCTGGAGTCAGGAAGACTCATCTTTCTGAGTTCAAATCTGGCCTCAGACATTTACTATCTGTGTGACCCTGCACAACTCGTTTAACCCTGTTTGCCTCAGCTCCTTATCTGTAAAATGAGCTGGAAAAAGAAATGGCAAACCACTCCAGTATCTTTGCTAAGAGAATCCCAAATGGGGTCATGAAGAGCTAGACACGACTGAAATGACCAAACAACAGGTATATGACCTTGGTAAATACTTTTAATCTTCTCTTTCCCAACAAATGAAGAATCTGAGTTTCCTAATTTCTAAAATTGGCTGAATGCATGCACTACTTGTACCAGATGATGGGATTTAAAGCTGGAAAAAAAAAAACTTTAGATATCAGCTAATCCATTGGTGCCAAAATCAGATAAAAATGGAGAGACCACTAATTCATACATAAGGATCCCTGCAGTCCACATAGTATTTTAGTTTTAAAATGCAATGTTATTTATGTTTCATTGCATTTTTATTGATTTTGTTAAATATTTACCAATTACATTTGAGTGCAGTTCAGAATGCACTCAGCATTGTTGCAGGCTTTATGTCTGACATCTTTGATTTAGTTCAACCTCCCATTCCACAAATGAGGAAAGACTCCCAGAAGGGAAAGGACTAACCCAAGGTCACACAGCTAATAAGTTGCAGAAATAGGATTTGAATTTCGATCCTTTGACTCCAAGTCAGTCGTCTTTACACTAAATCTCACTGCTCTCATCACGTGAGATGATGTATGTAAAGTAACTATGGACTTTGTAATATAAATCTTCAAGCCTATAACCAGAGTTAAGGCTTAGAGTGCAAACATCTTGGGGAAAGAGGGCTATGACTGAAATTCACCCTACGTTATCAATGTCTCTTGCATCTTACTGGGAGAACAAATTTTGATAAGAGGAAGATATAAAATACCTAAAGGGGGAGGGGGAGGGGGAACAGACTCTAGAAGGGGGTTTGCAGGACCAAAGGCCTCGCCTCATGGTTTTTCCTGGTACAAGCACTGCTTTTATTTGGATTGCTGATTCTGCCACTCTAATGTCTTTAAAATATAAACATAGAGCACAGTAGCCCCCAGAAACTTTCTTGTTGATTTCAAGAACTGAAATCAGTGTTCGTAGAAATGCTAATATTATATCGAGAGCATTGCCACGGCCCAGTGAATTTTCTTTAACAGTGCTAATATGTGATAGCAACTTAGCTGCTTTCTCTTCCTTTCCTATTAATTGTTCTGATGTATAAGAATTGATTTTTTTTTTCTCCAGAGGTGGCATCCCTCTTCTGTAGTTAGAAGGATAGAGAGGAATTATGGCTCAATGGAAAGAGTGATGAGCTTTCCTAATGTACCTGGAGTCATGAGTTTGAATCCTCCCTCTACCCTAGGCTCTGCCACCTGTTTGACCTTGGGCAAGATATTTAACTTCTCTAGATCCCCATTTGCTCTTATGTAAAATGAGTGAATTGGACTAGATGACCTTTGGGGCTCCTTCCAGATCTTGAAATATGATCCTATGAAGACACAATTCCCTAATATTTCTATGTCCATGGGCATTACTGTTTTCAAGGAAGGATGAAAAATATTCAGAAGATTTTGTTGAATTTTTACGTTATTCATGTGAATTAATATTGTGATTTCATCCTTGTGGATCCTTCTTCCAATCCATCCATACTTACTTCCTATTTGACTCTGGTTCAGGTCCTCTCACAAATCCTCCACTGGAAGTCCATCATAGGTATTTAAGGCTGTCTTCTAATTCTCTTGACTTTAGACCTTGTGTGGATACTCCACATAATGTCCATCAGTTCAATTCAGGATACATTTATTAAGTGCCAGGCATTGTGGATACAAAAACAATAACTACTCCCTGCCCTCTAGGAACTTATATTCTACTGGGGTGATGATGGAGAGACATAGCATGTATGTTGTTCAGTCATGTTGAACTCTTCACGACCCCATGAACCAAAAGCATCAGTTTTCTTGGCAAAGATACTGGAGTAGTTTGCCTTATCCTTCTCCAGTGGATTAAGGCAAACAGAGGTTAAGTGGCTTGTCCAGCCAGGATCACATGGCTAATAAGTGTCTGAAGCTGGATTTGAACTCAGGTCTTCTTGACTCCAAACCCAGCGCAATATCCACCAAGTCACTTACCTGCCTAGATAGGACATGTGTATAGATAAATAAATTGGAAATATGTATAAGATAAACAGTAATATCATAAAGGTAATGGCACTAACAACAAGAGGGTAAGGACATCTGAGCTATGCTTTGAAAGAAAACAGGGATTCTAAGAATCAGAGGTGAGGACGTGGGGCGTTCTCGGCATAGGGGAGAGCCTGTACAAAAAGCTCAGACTTAGGAACTGGAGTGCCATGTGTGATGAGCAGCAGGTAGGTCATTCATCCCTTGCTCTCACCACCTGGCCAACCTACCTTCTCTTCTGTCCATAAGCTTCTCTGATGATATCCTTCACAATATGGATTGACGATTTCCAAATCTAGCATCATTGATGATAAACATGGTAGTCTCTAAAATAAATCTGGTAAATGATATGTACAGAACCCCAGCCTAATGAATAAACTGAACATGTATGTAACCAAGGATGTGTTTATTTTCTTTTTCTTCTGGAAAAGGGCTACATGATGGAGAATCGGATCTCAGGCTTAAAATGTGACTCAGATGTGTTTGTGACCTTTGAAGGCGACAATGTGGTCATGCTCCAGGTAAGGTTCCAAAAGCCCTCACTTCCCATAAGTTGTCCAACTTGTAAGAACAAAGAGTCCCCCAAACCAGAGATATTTCTTGTGTTTCGTCTGTTTGAGGTTTTGTCATTGTGTTTGGCAAGTTCTAGCCCAGGCACCATTTGATGTTTACAGTATGTGATGGTGGGCGAGGGCTGTTCTCTTCCAGCTGATCTTTTGATGTTGAATGAGATCCACTTGTGATGGGAAAACTGCTTGTGTTGCATCTCCAGGCAGATTCTCTGGGTGCCAGAATTACTCCCTGAGAGTTTGTCAGGCACTTCTGCAAGGTGATTAGAGCTCAGTTACACACACTGCAACAGTAAACTACTAATTGGTTCCCTGGTGGAAAAACCAAGTGAATTTATCTTCCAAAGGGACCTACTATTTTTAAAAAAAACCTTCATTAATTTGGCCTGAATTAATTCAGAATTTGTGACAATTTGACCTGTGTGGAGTTACTTTATTTGTGAAGACAGAGTTCATAAATAAAACATGACTTTAGGAAGTACAGGGCCCTGGAAAAGAGTGCTGGACTTGGAATCAAAGGATCTGGGTTTGAATCCTACCTCTGCCAGTTGCAGTGTGAATGATCATGGGTAAGTCTTGGGGTCTCCATGTCTTTATCAGTAAAGTGACAGGGTGGATTAGGTGGCCTTTGAATGTCCTTTGCAGCTCTGAGTCTATATATGCAATCATTCTGTGATTGATACATTGCAGAAATTGAGCTTGGGTTTATGATGTTGTAGGTAGGTGATCAGCAACTCAGGAGAAGCTTCCTAACAGGGAGAAGCCAGCGAGGCTCCATCATGACTAACTAGGACATTTGTGCTGCAAAGATTCAACCACAAACTGGCTCACGGTCATCATATAATGGCCTTTCAGAGTGATTATAGTCATAGCCCAAGGCATTCTTACCACAAGGGTGAAAAGAAAACCCAGAGAAAACTCAGGAAAAACTGCCTGAAATGTTGCCATTAGATATAGGGGCCTGGGAAAGCAACAGGAAGAACTGGAAGTCTTCGCTCTGAACCACTAGATGATGGCATCTAGCAATTACTGAGATGTGGTGGGAAAGCAAAAATGATTTGGACTCTGGGCTAAAGGAGAGAAGAAAACCAAGCAGTGCTCCCATATACAGAATATATATCTAAGCAATCTTCAAGGCCTAGAAAGTAGAAGATGGGTAGTGGATAGATTATGTGTGGATTAAGGTTAAACAGCAAAAGAATAAGAAAAGCAACTTAATGGGAAATTATCATTATTAGTGATAATAATAAGTATTATTATTATTGTAATAACAATTTACCTTTATGTAGTGCTTTAACTTTGCAAAGTGCTTTGCAAATGTATCTTACTTGATCCTCACAATAAGCCCATGAGGTAAATCCTACAATTACTCTTCTTCCCATTTTATAGATGAGAAAACTGAGGCTGAGGGAGGTTGTCAGCATGTTATAGTAGAAAGAGTACAGTACTTAGAATCTGAGGACCTAGGTTCATATCCTCTCTGTGTCAGTGACCTAAAGGAAATTGTTTAATCTCTCTCAGCCACAGTTTCCTCATGTCTAAAATGAGGGGATTAGATTAGATAGCTCTTCTCAGCTAAGGTCATACCTTCTACAAGAATACCTCTCCTAGTTCTTCTTAATCTAAATACCTTGCCTCTGAAATTACCCTCCATCTGTCCTGTATACATCTTGTTTGTGCATAGTTGTTTGTATGCTGTTTCCCCCATCAGACCGTAAGCTCCTTGAAGGCAGGAAGTGTCTTTTGCCTTTCTTTGTATCTCCAGTGCTTAGCACAGTGCTTGGCACATAGTAAATGCTTAATTAATGCTTATTGACTTGACTTTAAGGTTCTTTTTAGCTCTAAATCCATGATGTTATGACTTGCAAGGATGATGCAGCTAATAAGTGTCTTAAGTTGGGCTTCAAATCCATTTCTTCTTATGTAGGTAGATCTGTCCTTGTCATCTTCCTGCTCAGAACTCCAGTGGCTCCCTAATTAACTCCCAGATCAAGTCTTCTGGTTGATGTTTTCTTTATAACCATGCCCCTTCCCTATATTTCCAGTCTTAGACTTTAGTCTGTTCCACATTCTTTATGAACCAGCGGCATTGATCTACTTGCGTTTCCTCAAATGCAGCATGCCGTTTCTTGTCGCTATGTGTTTTCGCTGGCTGACTGTCATTATTAGGATGCTCTAACCCCCTGACCTTAGTTTCTCTGGCTTCCTTCAAGACTCACTTCAAATCCTATCATCTGTAGTAGCCAGTTGCCCCAGCTACTAATGCCTTCCCTTCCTCTGATGCCTTATGTCGACTCTGTATATATTTTGTGTGTACTTATTTTTATGTTGTCTCTTCTATTAGAATGTAAGCTTTTTGTGGGTAGGGACTATTTTTGTATCCTCAATGCTTAGCATAGTGCCTTTGCACACAGCGAGTATTAATGTGTGGTTGTTGACTGACTGACATGGAGAAGGTTGGTTTTATTTAAAGCATTAAGCAATTTTCTATAAGCAATCCAGGCCTCTCTCCTCCTCTTCAATTTTGGTCCCAGCTTATGAGCAGTATCTCTCCAAAATACTGATGGACCTGCTCTATATGCTGTCCATCCAATTGCAAACTATTGTCTGGACAACAGGCATTCTATGTCCGCTTGGTTTTTCCAGGGTGGATTTTCATTTCATATTTTTCTTATTTTTTTTTTTGTCCTCTTATCTCCAGCATAGTGTTGTACATACTAATTGCTTAATAAATTCTTGTTGGATAAGATTGAATAATTAGGCCAACCTCTTTTGAAATTAGTATTTTTTGTCTATATGTGTGATTTCATTCATATAGGAAGTTCTTGGTATGGATACTCCTTCTACAGATACAGATGAGCAGTTCATCAATAACCTATAATCTTAAAGAGTTCCTATGGCCATTGAGAGATTTATAGAACTTGCCATAGTCATACAGCTAATCTGGGTCAGATTAACATCAACTCCTGCCTTCCTGTCTCCAAGCCTGGCCCTCTATCTGCTACGCCATGCTGGCTGCCTCTCAGCATAATTCTGGATAGCTTTTCAGAGCTCTATGCTATTCTGGGCCTTGATGCAATCAGTATTAGATCCACAAATAGGAACAGCTAGAGTGCCTCACCAACTAGAAGGAATCCCTCTTCCACTGGGACTCCACATGGCTGTGTCCTGAGATGATGGTAAGCACCTTTGACAAGCATATCTGGTTTTTATTTGTTGCTTGACATTAAGAACCAGAGAGTTGTTTAAGCAAGATATCTCTGTTGTAACATTTTTTCAAGGAATCTTGTATGCTTTTGACATGCATAGAAAACACCTCATTGGGGACCTGCATGGTGGTAGTGTTCTTTACTGAATCAGTCTTCAAACAGCAAACATAGTGAGATTTTATTCTCCATACCTAGAAATCAATTAGGTGACTATAAGAATGTCTTCTGTACAATATGAGCTTCCCTGTTCCCTTTCCCAAACCTGCTCTCAATGCTTGGGTTGATTATTCTCATAAAAATTATGTAGAGATTTAAAAATAGATATATGACTGAATATGGTTATCAGTACTCTCCTAATCACCTTTCAATAATGACAATGTCAGATTTTATCCAAACCTTTGGTTTTCTCCCCCTCCTTTAGTTTAAGATGTTTGGAGAAGCCGTTCCTCTAGACCCACAAAATGACTTTTCAATTTAAAACTCAAAAGCCTGTGGAAGTATTGTTGATAAATCAAAATAAATTAATTAAAAACAGAAAAAAAAAGCAAAATTACTTTTCTTTTAGAGTGGACCTTCTCTGGATATAGTTGATCCCATCCTGCTATTCTTCTCAGCTTTGTTTTCCTTGGTGTCATTTCCATTTCATTACATAGAAAATTAGGGACTGTGATACTAAGAGTTGAAATGCTAGAGGACCACTGTTACTGATGGAGAAAAGGATTTGTTGTAAAAAAAAAATTTTTTTATAGATTTGTCATGTCTTTGTTGTTCTTTTTGATAAATGCTGTTGGAATGGTTTGGCTTTGTTGGTTTTTTCACCAAGCTTCCTTCTACAACTGCTCACTGTTTATGAGGCAAAACTATTCATGATCTTCTATCATCCTCCTCTATAAAGTTTTACAAATTAGCTGATTTTCTGTGTAGTCCTTTGTGGCCTATGTTCCAATTGGGAAAAGAGACCAAGTGTATTCTAAGGTCTCTAGGTTCTTAAAATTTCGTTATTATAATGATTATGTCATTTAAATTTCCATAAAAAATTATGGTAGTCAGTGTCAATATGTGTTCTTTTATCTAATTCTCATTTTTTTGCATCAATAAATTATTTAAATGTCTTTTGAGTTGCCTCAAATGTAAATCTAATCTCATGTTTATTCTTCTAATTTATAATTCTTATTTTGTTTCAACAAGTTGGTAGTCTCACTATACATAGATGGCAAATTCAAAAATGACTCCCAAATCAATAATCAGTTGTTTCCTATCTGCTGAAATATAATGTTTCATTTTTTTGTGATATTTTTGGGTGGTTACCATGTCTCATGCCTCCAACTTTTTTATTGAAGAAAGTATTCATGATTTATAGACATTTGGCTGTGGAATAATCTAGAAGCTATTGGAATATTGTTTTTCTTTTCTTTTCTTATTGCTGAATCACATTTTCCCACATATTTTTCATCATCATCTCCTGTGCCCATTTTTGCACTGGAGTCACCACATATTAAGGTATATTTTGATTTAATTTGAAAGCTCTTATTGATTTCTTCACAGAATTTCTCTACCTTCTCATCTCTACCAATGATATAATCTCTTGGATTTCTCCCTCCATCAACTTTCTTTTTTTTGTTTCGTTTTGTTTTGTTTTTTCTTTTTGGTGAGGCAATGAGGTTAAATGACTTGCCCATGGTTACACAGCTAGTAAGTGTCAAGTGTCTGAGGTCACATTTGAACTCAAGTCCTCCTGACTCC